GACCTAAAACATAATTATATCCCTGATACACTTCACAAAACCATGTACCAAAAGGCAAGATAAAGTTCTGTTGGGTTCCCCCACTATGCAGACAGCTATTGGAAATATATGCATTTTTTTTTTTTTTTGAGACAGAGCCTCAAGCTGTCCCCCTGGGTAGAGTGCTATGGCATCACAGCTCACAGCAACCTCCAACTCCTGGGCTCAAGTGAGTCTCCTGCCTCCGCCTCCCAAGTAGCTGGGACCACAGGTGCCCGCCACAACACCCAGCTATTTTTTGGTTGTAGCCGTCATTGTTGTTTGGCAGGCCTGGGATTTGAACCCGCCACCTTAGGTGTATGTGGCTGGCGCCTTAGCCACTTGAGCCACAGGCGCTGAGCCTATGTATTTTTTTAATCACTAGAATTTAAGATCCATGGAATCTTAAATCATTCAAAAGAAAGTATCTGATATATTTTCACTTTTCTCTTGTCCATTTCATCTCAGGATGTAGGGGAAGCCATAAAGGATGCACTTTTGATTTAATTCAGATTAAAACTTTGAACAAAGGATAACTGTATGTGATAATCAAGGCAGGGAATGTTGAGTGTAAGGAAGCAGATGAACTTAACTTTAGAAGTTCAGATTTAAAAACAAGTCAAAGAGCATTAGGGAAGATCCCAGTGCAATCTTAAAAAGTAAGTTGTATTTTGGGGCAGCGCCTATGGCTCAGTGGATAGGGTGCCAGCCCCATATACTGAAGGAGGTAGGTTTGAACTCAGTTCCAGCCAAACTGCAACAACAACAACAAAAAATAGCTGGGTGTTGTGGCAGGTGACTGTAGCCCCAGCTACTTGGGAGGCTGAGGCAAGAGAATCACCTAAGCCCAGGAGTTGGAGGTTGCTGTGAGCTGTGACGCCACAGTACTCTACTGAGGGCAATAAAATGAGACTCTGTCTTTATTAAAAAAAAAATTAAAAGTTGTTTTTTAGCATTGTTTGGTCTCACAAGGAAAGAAAAGTAAGTTACCTTAAGAGAAATAGGAGTTTTTCAGAATTTAAATTCTGACACTGAATTAATTAGCATGAGCATCCATAAATACATTATATCAAGGCTTTCTGAATAATTCCACTTTTAAAAGGTCTTGTAGGGCTGGGTATGGTAGCTCATACTTGTAATCCCAGTACTTTGGAAGGCCAAGGTAGGAGGACCACTTGAGGCCAGGAGTTCGAAGACCAACTTGGGCAACATAGACCGCATCTCTACCAAAACTATTAGAAAAGTTAGCTGGGTATGGTGGTGCACACCTGTAGTCCCAGCTACTTGGGAGGCTGAAGTAGGAGAATTGCTTGAGCCCAGGAGTTCAAGGTTGCAGTGATGCTATGATCAAGGTTGTGCTATGATCATGCCATTGTATTCCAGCCTAAGTGACAGAGCAAGGCCTTGTCTTTAAAACAAAACACACAAAACAACTGTTCTAAATCCTAATCCATTTGGATTTAGCATAGCTATTTGTAGAAAACAGCTTGGGGAGAAGTGTGTATATAAGAATAAATACTGGCTTGGCGCCTGTGCCTCAAGTGGCTAAGGTGCCAGCCACATACACCTAAGGTGACGGGTTCAAATCCAGCCCAGGCCCACCAAACAACAATCATGGCTGCAACCAAAAAATAGCCAGGTGTTGTGGCGGGTGCCTGTGGTCCCAGCTACTTGGGAAGCAGAGGCAGGAGACTCGCTTGAGCCCAGGAATTGGAGGTTGCTATGAGCTGTGATGCCACAGCACTCTACCCAGCGGGACAGCTTGAGGCTCTGTCTAAAAAAAAAAAAAAAAGAATAAATAATAAAGAATAGCTACCACTCTTAAGGATAATTTCTGGGGATACAGCTCAGAATAGCAGAATAGGCAAGGCTCTGTGAACTTGGGGGTAAAAAACAAACTTACTTACTTAAACAATTATAGAGATCTTACAAAAAGTATGGAGAACTGAAACATGGGAAAATGGAGAAAAACAGATGAGAAAAAGAAATGGTCAATTCTATAACAGTGATTATGGAAAAATTCTCAAATGAGTTATTACACAGATGGATAGTAAGCTCTTAGAGAGAAAAGCAATAGTCACTCTGAGTTAGAATAGGCATGATTGAATCATGCCAAGCTGAACATATTTTTTTGACAGATCTGCAGGAATCCATTTAGATTTAGCACAGCTCTCATACTTCCCTCTCAATGTTTTCTCTCTCTCATCCTGATGTTGCTCATAAATTACAGATCATTTGTTCTTTTATTAGGCAAATATTTGAACACTTGCTAAGTGCCAGACACTGTAGGCACTGAGGATATAGCAAACAAAACCTAGACACGGTCCCTACCCTCATAGTTTACTTTGTGATGGGCAGTACTTCCCCAATTCTGGTATTCTTCCTAGCCACCAGCTCTTTCTGTCTTTTCTAACCTTCATGTGGTTTTCCTGAGGTAGCACAATCCTCAGATCTTAAGGCTTCACTGTCTGCCCCCTCTCTCCTTTTGTTTTCAAGTTTACAGTAGGAAAAAGGCTGGGCTGCAGTCTTCCTTGGCCAACAGGTGCCGTCCTCTTTTGCAACATGCCCAGAAACATGCTATCATTCAGGTTCCATGCAACAGATATTAATTAACTAAATTTCAAATTTGGCAAACCTACCTTTCCAGCCTCACCTTCCATTTCATCCCTTCAGTCATTACCAGCCCTAGTCCCAGCCCCCGCCCACAAGTTTACATGTCTATGTTTTTGCTCAATCGATTTTCTCATTCTGGAATGTCTGACATCTCCCTTCTCCACCTATGGAAATCCTGCACATTTCCCAAGACCCAGCTCAAAAGCTGCCTCCTCCCTGGCTGGACCTAAGATATTAATACTTATTTTGCTCAGTTGACTTATGCTGTACTATTGTACCCTTATCTTCTCTTTCCATGTGGAAGACAACTACCTATCTGTCTTCCCCACCAGAGTTCCACTTTATTTATTTAGAGACAGAGTCTTACTATGTTACCCTTGGTAGAGTACTGTGGCATCACAGCTCATAGCAACCTCAAACTCTTGGGCTTAAGTGATTCTAGCCTCAGCCTCCCAAGTAACTGGGACTACAGGCCCCCACCACAAGGCCCAGCTATTTTTTTGTTGCTGTTGTCATTGTTGTTTAGCAGGCCTGTGCTGGGTTTGAACCCGCCTGCCTCAATGTATGTGGTTGGCACCCTAAACACTGAACTATGGGTGCCAAGCCCAGAGTTCCACTTTTAAAGAGCAAAGGTCTTCAGAGCTTCCACCCTGTCCAGCTGTAGTACTTTTACAATAGCAGTTAGCAAACCTGAGTCTGAACTAAAAATGGTTGAAATGGTTGGAAAAAGATCAAAATAAAAATATTTCATGACACGTGAAAATTATATGAAATTTAAATTTTAGGCAGGGCACAGTGGCTCATGCTTATAACCCCAGGGCTCTGGAAAGCTGCGGGGGACTAGGGGGTGGGGGGATCATTTGAGGCCAGAAGTTCCCCGTTACAGGGAGGTATGAATGTACCCCTGAATCCATGCACTGCAGCCTGAGTGACTAAACACTTTGCCTTTAAAAAAATTTTAGTTTCAGTGCTCATAAACAAATCTTTAAAAGAACACCTACAGGCCATACCATATTTCTATGACTGCTTATGAGCTTCAATGGCAAAGTAATTGAGAAAGAGATCTTATGGTCCACAAAGCCTAAATATTTACTATATAGCTCTTTACAGGAAACCTTTGATGATTGAGCTACTGGGTCAGTATACCATTCCCTCCAAATTTTAGTTTCTTTGTGTAATGAGGTAACTATCTTGCCTTTAAGTTGTTCTGTATCAAATAAGATAATGCACTCAGAAAAGTATAAAAAATCCACAAATAGGGTGGGTGCGGTGGCTCATGCCTGTAATCCTAGCACTCTGGGAGGCCAAGGCAGGTGGATTGCTTGAGCTCACCAGTTCGAGACCAGCCTGAGCAAAAAGCTAGACCCCACCCCCACCCCCGCTCTACTAAAAATAGAAAAACTGAGGCAAGAGGATCGCTTGAGCCCGAGTTGGAGTTGCTATGAGCTATGAAACCACCGCACTCTACCCAGGGTGACAACTTGCGATTCTGTCTCAAAAAAATAAATAAATAAAAATCCACAAATATAGACAACTTTATCATGTATTGAAATGATAAAGTGGAAGAAAGAGAAAAAACTAACCGTTTTTACTCTCCCCCTTCCTTACAGCTTTTACTTAAAACTTGAAGTTTTAAGAGAAATATCACCTTTGAAGTTTTTATTTTAAAGTGCTTATCCAGTTTCAGGTTCCTATCCTCCAGTTTTTTGTGTTGCTCTCACTTCCTTTTCGTATGTAAATTTCCCCCTCAAAAAAATTTTTTTTTTGAGACAAGAATCTCTACGTCTCCTCACAGCTCACAGCCACCTCAAACTCTTGGGCTTACGCGGTTCTCTTGCCTCAGCCTCCCAAGTAGCTGGGACTACAGGTGCCCGCACAATGCCCAGCTATTTTTTTGTTGCTGTTGTCATTGTTGTTTAGCTGGCCCGGGCTGGGTTCGAACCGCCAGCTCCAGTGTATGTGGAGGGCGCCCTAGCCACTAAGCTACAGGCGCCGAGCCATCAAATTTCATTAAATCGTTTCTCAATTAGTCCCCACAATAGCTCAGGGAAGGAACGGACTTGCCTGGTTAATCCATCTTATAGACCAGAAAACTGCGGCAGGTCCTACCTGACTCTGGAGATCTGACTCGGCACGCAGGGAACCCTGATACCAAGCTCCGAGCCCTTCCCAAGGGACTACTGTCCAGCAAATATAACAAAACTAACCCAGTCACCTGTCCAAACTTGTATCCTAAAATCCCTTTAGCATCCAGCCTACCCTCCCTTCTCTCTTCCCTTTCCTTCCCTCTGCCCCTACCATTCCTCTTCCGCCCCCCTACTCAGGAGCAGGTGGTAGATTCCGCGCCCAACGCGCAGGCGTGTAGCGTCACGAGGCAGGGGCGGAGCGGGAACTGGGGGCGGGGCGAACGCGGGCTGGGATTTGGGCCGCGGCGGGAGCCCTAGTCGCCGCCACTCGAGTGCGCAGGCGCCTGGCGGTTACCGGTCTCGCCATGGAGCGGAAAGGTGAGCAGTGGAGCGGCCTCCGCCACGAGGGGCAACGGCCGCTGGGGCGAGGCCCGAGTCAGTGCTGAGAGCTTCGCCTAACCGCCGCCGTCCGGTCCCCGGGCGAGCGGCCCCCCTCCAGTGAGGTGGCGCCGCCCCTCACCCCGCGCCTCTGGGCTGCCGGTCCGCGCCCCTCAGCCCAGGCGTCCTCCGGCTCCGGCCGTCACCGCCCCTTGTTCCCAGCCAGGCCGGCTCGCGCCTTGGGGCCACTGCAGGGCCCGGCCTTTGGCGAGCGAAGTAGACCCCTGACCGTCCGCCCCCAGCCCCAGCCCGAGCCCCCTCCGGCGCATCCCTCCTGGGCACTACTCGTAGCCCCATGGGCCGCCTGCCCCCCAGCCGGCCGCCTCACCGGAGCCACAGCGCTCGCCCCGCTGCTGCCCTTCGGGCAGGCCCCACAGCCGGGCCTGGCGCCCCTGCTGGGTCTCCACCCTCACCTTGGTCGCCTCCTTTCCTCCACATTCGCCCTTCATCCATCCCTCTCTCCTGCAGTGCTTGCGCTCCAGGCCCGAAAGAAAAGGACCAAGGCCAAGAAGGACAAAGCCCAAAGGAAGTGAGTCTTGTACCCCAACATCCTATTCTTTGGATTTTCTCCGGCACTTTCCCTGCTCTGGTTTCTTGTGTTGAACGTGCACCGGGTTTGGGCACTCTGCGGCCGCAGCCACATGGCCTCAGGGCGGCCTGGAGGGTCACTCTCCAGCAACCATGTGGAAGAGAGCTTCTGTTGCAGAACGCCAGGCCTGGGTCTTAGCCCCAGGCCTGCTGGACAGGGCTGTTGGAGGAGGACCAGAGCCCGCCTGGTTCCTTTCCTCCCCAACTCCACAGAGGAGGCACAAGCTGCCCATGCTTGGGCCCCCACCGGAGCTGGTAGATTTTTGTCAGTCTGTGAACTCTGGTCTCTTTTACTTGCCTGCCTCCCAGCGTCTTAACTTGCCTCGTGCGTCTCCACGGTAGGCCTTCAGGAAATTCTTGAATGAATTTTTCCTTGTTTACTTTTGGTTCTTCCAGCCACATGTTCTCTTTCATAAAGGGGGGCATGGAGCTTTCCCCCTTGTTAGTCAACTTCCTGAGCCTGCACAGCCCATGGCCTTCCTTGCAGTGGGGAATGGGGGTGGCCAAAGACACCATTGTGTATACGGTTGGCATCTGTTAACTGCGACTCTTCTGCTTTCACCTCAACTCCTCACCCTTAATGCAGACAATCTTCTGAGTGGGCATCACAGAGTGATGGGTGGTGACTCTGGTGTATTAAGTGCCCCAAGTCCAGGTTTATCAACCAGATCCATAACTGGTTTTTCGCTATCGCTATCATGGGGAGGACAAAAGTTGGTCATAGCTTAGTAGAAATGCAGGTAGCTGCTGGTTTTGGCAAATGAGGCTTAGACTTAAGATTTTTTTTTTTTTTT